GATGCAAATTGCGATACAATTTTTCATGGAGATTTCCAATCAAAGAATAGAAAAAACCTGTGGAGATCTTTGACAAACAATTATCTGAACAATTATTGGTAAAATACATGCAAGTCAAAATAGGACAAAAATCCTCTGACACCATAGCTATATGACCATGACAGTGACCACACGCATACATGTAGGCCTGTGCAACTTGAAAAGTTCTCACTGTGGAGAAATCACGCGCAGCATGCATGACATTGGTTTCCGCCACTGCTCGGTGCCTCACATACATGTATTTATTTTTTTATTCGTAGGCCGCATAAACAAAAAAAGTTGATTGTCCCCACCCCGACCATTGCTCCATGGCCCGCCCAATCAAAATGCCCTGACCCCCAGTTTTTACTTTTTAATCATCCATGTGTATTGTTCTTCATAAAATGGCCCAAAATGCAACTCTGCATGTCATTTTCAAAACTTCTTAAAGAGTGACTTTGATTATGTAAAATACCAATTAGTACCTTCAGATTTATAAAAATGATTATTTGGGGATAATTAGACATACATGTACATTTTGTGGACATTTGGTTGGCTACCAGTGCAAATCATTTGGAGTTGAATTTATTTAAAGTTTTACATCAAAGTGTTTGCATCAGAGGAATGGATTTCAAAACTTCTCTCAACAGGGAGAATTCAGTATATTTTTCAACTGATGTTTTGAAGCACATAAGAAATAACTTTATGAAATATAAACCATGAAAAAAAAGCGGAAAAAATTGATGGAAAATGAGAAAAGATTGGCTCTCTTCATTCTATTACCGTTTATAATCACTCTCACTATACCAGCATATCTGCCAGGTCTGATACCTTTCAATCACCGAAAATAATCTCTGAGTTTGGCTACATCAAAATTGTATAATGAGTACAGTACAATATGTCCGTTGCGAACGTCATATTTGACAGAATTTTGATGACGTTAAGAATTTTGGCAAAAAATGCATGACACTCAAGAATGCAGAAAACACTGTCACATAAAGCGCTTGAAAATTCCACGTACGATATTCATTTTGCCGCTTATTTTGGAGATATTCCCGATGAAAATTAAATTGAAATTAATAACTTTGCACATTAGATTTTCATCGGACGTCATTTTTTAAAAATGTCATTCAGTATGACAGGTTTTCTTTAGAGAACGGTAACTTTTATTGGCTCGGATTTCAACAGGTTGTTCACATCTGCCAAAAATGCTGACGTTCAAGACTTTAATTAATCAAGTTCGATTCAGTTGAAAGATGGGCATGGTCATGTTCCAGATATCAGCTATGACTTGTCCCTCATTACATCAGACATTGGGAATTAATTCACTGCTGTTCACTTCAGGAAAAATGAATCCCCAAACATGCCAAAATTGAACATTGTCTAATAATGGTCCATATTTTGAGGAACCTATAAATAATTAATTGTATGCGACACAAAATGAATTTTTTGCTACACAAAAGGAAGATTGTACAGCAAATTTGCTAAATAAGAGTTCAGAATGAATTTGCTCACCGTTACTCCTGCCCAGTCAAGCTGTGGTCAAGGCAATCCAGTATTAAAATCTTATTCTTAACCCCCACTGGATTTTGGGCACAGTGCAAAAAACAAAATCTACATTCAGCACAGCTGAAATGAGAAAGAAGCATTTTGCGCTACATGGATACATGTACATGTAGTTAACTGAATAAAAACACTCTCTTTGATACTACAGGTAATGTACCGGTACATGTACATCATACATGTAACATGTACATGTAAACAATTAATACCCTGGCACTCACATTGACAGCTACCAATACATGTACACGTACTGCTAAATAAAAGTCAAATATATTTTTATCACAGTTAAATATTCGTTTAGTAACAGAATGTAACAGGGTTTACATGTATACATGAATATACATACACATTGTTAATAGATAAATTAAATAGTGTTACAATTGAATAGATTTAATTGTGATGACAATTTTATTGTATTGTTTGATAATAGTACTTTAATGGCATCCAAATCATAAAAGAGACCTAGTGGTACATGTACTGTACCAGTAATTTCATTCTCAAGCTGCATTTTCCTACAGTATGCTTACATGTACATGTACAACATGTACAACGACATACCGGTACATGTACATGTACATCGATGTACATATTATTATTACATGTACAATGATGTATTGTATTAAGTGTACATGTACACCCGACAACACATCACTACATGTACATGTATGCATTGTACATGTACTTCAAGTATGTACAGTGTACATGTACATGTTCAGCACATGTACGGTACCAGATACCCCAGACAAGGTTTATGTACCGGTACGTGTACATGTATATAAGTAGTACATGTATACGTACGTATGCACATGTGATATACATGTACATGTAGCCATATGAAGATCACATACCCCGGTACATGTACATACACAAGCATGTAGGATAGGTGCACATGTACATGCAGGACCTACCACCACTTGCGATGCAAAGACAACAACATGTACATGTACATTATCCTTGGCTTTTCCTTGTGAAACACTGAAAGCATGTTTCCTTTTGAAATTCAACAGAAGTTATTTTTTTATGCATAATACATTTGATCCCAATCAAATTTGATTGCAGTACATGTACATTGTACATCCAGAATTGTCAAATTGCTGGGTTCACTCTCTGGTCAAGGCTAAAAATAGCTCTGGATTGGCAGGGCTGTCTCTCACCAACTTAACATTGATTACTTACACTGTACATACTCTACATGTATGATTTGCCCAGGGCAGACAGTCACACAAAGTGTTTTTTTAATGTGTATTCCTCCATGAATACATACAGGTATACATTTGTACTAGTACATGAATGTACATGTACATGTAGTACATGTACAGTATATAAAGATACATGGATGTAAATGTACATTATAGGAGGGAGAGGCGGAGGGAGGGGTGGAGGGCGGGACGAGAGCTAAATCCCATGATGGCCTGCTTGCCTGTTCTTTCAGAAGGGGTGTTTAAAATTGTAATCAATAAAAATTCTGTTTAAAATAATAATTTTTACATTTTCCAATATATACTGTAAAAGGATTATTTAAGCATCTCAAATTGTGTTCAAGAATCTGCTGTCTCAAGACTAGAAAAGAATTTCTTTTTCACTTTATGATTGGCAAACAAATTCTGTATGTTAACATGTAACCAGTATATATAGCATACACTCACCATGAAGCTGCTTCAGTAGTGAAACCACTAAAATCCAGTAACAAAAGCAAAATTTATCTTTTGGAAACATTTTCAAACCTTTAGCTATTTTTCCTGAAATGTACATGTATCATCAAAGGCCTAATGTTAAGGGTGCAGTCATTTTA